TCCGTGTGTCCTTTGACATGTTCCTCTCTCCTGTATTTTCTGTAAATTGGATATGGATGTTTGCTCAGATTCAGGTTTTTTTTTTTTTTTTTTTTGAGGGGAGGACTATAAGGTTGGTGCAAAAGTGATTGGAGTTTTTACTTAGTGGGTTCTGTTGGGAGGCATACAGGGTCTAGTTTTCTCTTGTGTTATTAGTAGCTATTAATGATCAATGCCTAAATCTGCTAATTCATTAAGGGTTGCAAAATGGTGACATTCTATCATTCTTTTTTTTATTAGTTGGAATACTATGAAGTAACTATCTGGTTACGCATTGGCATAGTTTGTGTAGGAAAGATAGAATTAATAAAGAGTTGGTGGTTCACTAGTATCCTCTAACTGTGACCAGTTCACTTTTGTTTGTTTTTTTGTCTTTTTGGTTTTTTTTAGAGATGAGGGTCTTGCTATGTTGCCCAGGCTAGAGTGCAGTGACTGTTGAAAGGTATGATTATAGAGCACTATAGCTTCAGACACCTGACCTCAAGTGATCCTCCCACCCCAACCTCCTGAGTAGCTGAGATTACACATGCCACCATGCCCGGCTAGTTGTTTTTTTCTTTTAACTGTCATTATGAACTAATGGATTTAAATGCAGTGCATCTATTTAGTCATTTCAGTGTGACAGAGTGAATGGAGAGAATACTCATTGCTTCCTTGAAAATGATTTAAAAATATTTGGGACCATTAGTCCAAGCTCAATGGAAGTGCCCCTAAGCAAGAAAAAGGGTTTAAAACATTGTTAGAATGAGGAATATGAGTCAGAATGGTAGATTTAAAAAAAATCGAGTGAACTTTATTTATGAAAAACATCCAGTGGTGTTATAAAGGTAAGTTAAGAAGGAGGATCATTGTTGCCTGACAATGTATATTGACTATTCTCATGCCCTCTCCTCTTCTTTATGTTCCTCAATTCCAGCTTGAAAGCTGAATGGCTCTATAGTCAAGGCAAAGGGAGAGCATATCGGCCTGGCCAGCACATCCAGCTTGTCCAATATCTGGCTACAGTCTGCCCCCTCACTTCTACACTAGGTCTTCAAACTGCAGAGGATGCCAAACTAGAGAAGATTCTGAGCAAACAGAGGTGAACACGTTTATTTCTAACAACTGATGAATTCACAAGTTAAAATACCTCTGAGTCTTTGCTATGGTGATAGTAAGCCTGAGGCAAGTGCTGTGGTCCACATTTCTGGACACTCAGTCCCCTTGTCACTGCAGCAATTTCTGTAGGGAAGCTGAATCATGCACTGCAAACAGCCAAACAATCTGGCATGGGGGAATACAGGGTTTTTATGTTTGTTTTTTGTTTTAAAGACAGAGTCTTGGTCTCTTGGTCTGTGAGTAAAGCAGCGCAAAGATAGGTCACTGCAGCTGCAACTACACGTACATGCAACCGTGCTTGGCTAATTTTTTGTAGAGATGAGGTCTCACTTTGTTCCTCAGGCTGATTTTAAACTCTTGGCTTCAAGCAGTTCTCCTGCTTCAGCTTCCTAAAGTGCTAGGATTACAGGTATGAGCTACTATACCAGGAAATGGGATGGGATTTTTAAAAAATATATTTGTTCTTTTTTTTTTTTTTTTCTTAAGACATAGTGTCGCTCTGTTGCCCAGGCTGGAGTGCTGTGGTGTGATCTCGGCTCACTGCAACCTCCACCTCCCGGTTCAAACGATTATTGTGTCTCAGCCTTCTTAATAGCTGGGATTACAGGCATGTGCCACCACACCTAGCTAATTTCTAATTTTTTGTAGAGGTGAGGTTTCGCTTTGTTCCTCAGGCTGATTTTAAACTCTTGGCTTCAAGCAGTTCTCCTGCTTCAGCTTCCTAAAGTGCTAGGATTACAGGTATGAGCTACTATACCAGGAAACGGGATGGGATTTTTAAAAAATATATTTGTTCTTTTTTTTTTTTTTTTCTTAAGACATAGTGTCGCTCTGTTGCCCAGGCTGGAGTGCTGTGGTGTGATCTCAGCTCACTGCAAGCTCCGCCTCCCGGGTTCACGCCATTCTCCTGCCTCAGCCTCCCGAGTAGCTGGGACTACAGGCGCCCGCCACCTCGCCCGGCTAGTTTTTTGTATTTTTTAGTAGAGACGGGGTTTCATCATGTTAGCCAGGATGGTCTCGATCTCCTGACCTCGTTATCCACCGGTCTCGGCCTCCCAAAGTGCTGGGATTACAGGCTTGAGCCACCGCGCCCGGCCAGAAGCATTTAATATTTACTTTCTTTATCAGAGATCCTGCCTTTAAATGTTTTTGTATGTGTATATGTGTGCATAGGAGGGTATCTGTCTTTGCAATTACAAAATAAGTTTCTTAACCTTCTCTATGCAGTGCTTTCAAATGAGGATTTATAATTTGGCAGTAATTAAAAGTACCTACTTTGAGAACTTGTAAACTTCTGCCTTTTTGACATTGTTACTTAGGAAGCAGAAAATCTTTCTTTTTTTGGTTTGTGTTAAATCAGAACAGATGTTATTGATTTTTAGGTTTCACCAGAGGCAGTTGATGAACCAAAGCCAAAATGAAGAGTTGTCTCCTCTTGTTCCTGTTGAAACAAGGGCATCCCTTATTCCTGAGCATTCAAGCCCTGTTCAGGATTGCCAGATATCCCAGGAAAGTGGTAAGAAAGTAATTTATCTCTGATCCCTTTTCTCCAAGTTGTTTAATTTTCCTGGCATCATAAAGCAGAAAAAGGTGCATATTTTCATAATTTTTTGTTAGTTTGCTAACTTCAGTAATCATTTAGATCTTATACATATCTATGTATATACACACCTATATATGTATGTATATTATAGCTGCTATATTTCTAATTTTAAGAAACATTTCAAGGACTGCTACCTTTTGTATAGACCTGATGCTTTGATGAATATTCTAATTATCACAAGAATTCATTTTCTTAAAAATGTTTGGTTTGATGTTTTAGGCATATTGGAAGAAATCACTGGGGATTTTTTCGCATTTTACTCTATTTCAAGGAATAGATTTCATTAAAGGGACATAACTAAAATGTAAATATTTAGTGGTTTAAATGATACTCTGTTGATTCTTCTAGAACCCGTCATTCAAGTCAATTCTTGGGTTGGGATAAGCAGTAATGATGATCAGTTATTTGCGGTTAAGAATAATTTTCCAGCCTCTGTACATACTACAAGATATTCTCGAAATGATCTGCACCTGGAAGACATACAGACAGATGAGGACAAGTTAAACTGTAGTCTTCTCTCTTCAGAGTCTACTTTTATGCCAGTTGCATCAGGACTATCGCCACTATCGCCTACAGTTGAGCTGAGACTGCAGGGCATTAACTTGGGCCTAGAAGATGATGGTGTTGCAGATGAATCTGTGAAAGGGCTGGAAAGCCAGGTGTTGGATAAGGAAGAGGAAAAGCCTTTATGGGCTGCAAATGAGAATTCTGTTCCAATGATGAGAAGTGAAATCAATACAGAGGTAAATGAGAAAGCTGGACTATTACCTTGTTCTGAGCCAACAATAATCAGCGCTATCTTGAAGGATGATAACCACAGTCTTACATTTTTTCCTGAGTCAGCTGGACAGAAACAACCAGACATAAAGAAACCAGAAAATACACAACCAGAAAATAAAGAAACCATATCTCAAGCAACTTCAGAGAAAGTTCCCATGATTTTAACCCAGAGATCTGTTGTTTTGGGACAAGACAAAGTTGCCCTTCAGAAATTAAATGATGCAGCCACCAAGCTTCAGGCCTGTTGGCGGGGATTTTATGCCAGGAACTACAACCCTCAAGCCAAAGATGTGCGTTACGAAATCCGGCTACGCAGAATGCAAGAGCACATTGTCTGCTTAACTGATGAAATAAGGAGGTGGGTCAGAAGTCCTTTCGATGTACTGTTTTGCTGGTTTGAGGGTGTTAGATTCTTACAGTTGATTCAGAACACTGTGCGTCTGTGATTATAACACTTTTCATACCATGTAGCCACTGTTGGTTTGGTTGTCTCCTACAGTGTACTGAAAGCATCTGGAGAGCAGAGACCATCTGTTCTGTCTGCTGCATCTCCATCCCCAGCAAAGGACTTGATACATAGATGCAGTGTAGTGGTAAATGTTCAATGAACGTGAGCTTTATAGGGATCTGTAATTCTAAACATAGAAAGGTACAGAAAACATTGAAAAACTAAGTATAAAAATGAGAAAATGATGAAGTCTACATGGAATTCAGTACATGACATAAAAATTAATAGCAGGGATTCAGAAGGGGCTAAAATTCTATAGGACTACAATAGGATTATTCCTTAATCCCATGGCTCATATGTTTTACTGACTGCTAACCCAGGAAAGTTAGGATTTCATTAATATTGCGACTAGTAATATTTATTGGTATTATCAGGTAGAAGAGGAAGAGGCAGCAAAGGATACTGAGAAAGGGCAGCCAGAGTGGTAGGAAAACTAGGAGAGTTCCACCTTCAACAGGAGAAACTGTTTCAGGAGAGATCGGAGGTGCCATAGAGAGGACACAGGCATTAGACTTGGCAGTTGGAGACTATTGGTGACTGTATTGGTGATTCTCCAGACTATCCTCAGGTTGGGTGATTTGCTAAAAGGACTCACAGAACTTGGGAAAATATTATTCTGTTCGTCATTATAGTTCGTTACAGCAAAAGGATACAGATTAGAACCAGTAAAGAAAAAAGGTGCCTAGGGCAGAGTCCAGGAGAGATGAGGTGCAAGCTTCCAGTTGTTCTCTCCCAGTGTTGTACAGACAGGGCTTAATTCTCTCAGCAATGATGTATGATAACACATATGAAGTATTGCCAACTGGCAAAAGTTACCTCATCTTTGATGTCCAGGGTTTTTATTGTGGGCCAATCACATAGGTAATGAGTACCCATGTAACTGATCTTAACTATTTAGACCTCAGGCCACTTAGAGGTCACACTGATAACTCCGTGGCTCAGGACCCCAGGTGAACACAACAGATGTTGACTAGAAATCATTGATTGCCTAAACTACCTAATGTGGACCAAGACCCCAGGTGTATAAAGATATTCTGTTTCAGTCAGGATATTCCAAGGGCTTGGAGATCATCTCCCAGGAGTCAGTCAAGGACCAGTCTTCTTATCTTTGCAATGTACAGTGTTTGAACATCCCAGTCCTGCTGAGTTAACTCTTTACTGCACAATGACCTTCCCAAGAGCAGCTTCAGTGGTGTAGGGGGATGAAGGCCATTTTGGAATGGGTTGAATAGTGAATAAGAGGTAAAGAGTTTGAAGGATGAGTGTAGCCAATTCTTGGAAAGAGTTGTTTTGAGGAAAACATGAAAAAAGAGAGTTAAGTGGTATCTGGAGGAGAAATCTAGATTAAAGGAACATACTCTTTTGGAGATGAGAGATACAGAGTGTGTTCATGTGTTGATGGAATGAATAAATAAGGAGGGAAAAACTGATGGTGCAGAAAAAAAAAAGAGGAAGAGCAGGATTGCAGTTTTTTTTTTTTTTTGAGACAGAGTCTGCTCTGTACCTAGGCTGAAGTGCAGTGGCGCCATTTCGGCTCACTGCAAGCTCCGCCTCCCAGGTTCAGGGCATTCTCCTGCCTCAGCCTTCAGAGTAGCTGGGACTACAGGCGCCTGCCACCACACCCAGCTAATTTTGTGTATTTTTAGTAGAGATGGGGTTTCACTGTGTTAGCCAGGATGGTTTTGATCTCCTGACCTTGTGATCCACCCGCCTTGGCCTCCCAAACTGCTGGGATTACAGGCACGAGCCACCGCACCCGGCCAGGATTGCAGTTCTTGAGAAGGTAAGAGAGGAAGAAATGCACTGTTGAAGTAGAGGAAGTGGCCTCAGATGGGAGCAGGAGCAGGTAAGGTGGTAGGTTTGATGGTGGGAGATGGGAAAAAGTCCTGTCTGCTGCTGCTGCTGCTTTTTCAATAATGTATAAGATGTGGTCAGCACCTGAAAATGAGGAGGGGGTGAAGGAGGTGTAAGGAAAGAAGTATGGGGTGTGAGGTAGTCATCTTAAGGATGACCTTATGAGGAAAATGGAGGAGGGTTGCTGGACGATGTGAGAAAATGCTTAAAAGTGTAAAATAATAGGTCAGGTTGTATGATTTTCATCGGCAATTCTTAGCTGTTCTGTTCTGATTCAGGTGTGGTTAATTTGGTTCAGCCAGGAATGATTTTTTTCCTAGGTGATATTGTAGAGAGAGCGGGGGAAGGGCAAGAGAGCTGAAGATATTTGAGAGGGAGTAATAATGGTAGATCTTACATTTTATATTTTTTTGAGACAGGGTCTTGCCCTGTCGCTGAGGCTGGAGTGTAGAGGCATGATCATAGCTCACTATAACCTTGAACTCCTGGGTTCAAGTGATTCTCCCACTTCAGGCTCCCAAGTAGCTGGGACTATAGGCGTGCACCACCATGCCCAGCTAATTAAAAATATATTTTTTTAAAGAAATGAAGTCTGTGTTGCCCAGGCTGGTCTTGAACTCCTGGCCTCAAGCAATCCTCCTGCCTCAGCCTCCTAAAGTTCTGGGATTACAGGTGTGAGTCACCTTGCTGGCTGGAATTTTTTTTTTTTTTTTTTTTTTTTAAGATGGAGTCTCGCTCTTGTCACCTAGGCTGGAGTGCAATGGCGCAATCTCGGCTCATTGCAACCTCTGCCTCCCGGGTTCAAGTAATCCTCCTGCCTCAGCCTCCCGAGTAGGTGGGATTACAGGAACCCACCACATGCCCAGCTAATTTTTTTTTTTTTCATTTTCAGTACAGATAGGGTTTCACTATGTAGGCCAGGCTGGTCTCAAATTCCTGACCTCAGGTGATCCGCGTGCCTTGGCCTCCCAAAGTGCTGGGATTACAGGCGTGAGCCACTGTGCCCAGCCTGGCTGGAATTTTAAATGAGGTAAAAGGGAACTGAGGGCAGGAGGGAAGGATCATTGGACTGGAGGATTGTTGCAGTAGGGTATAATAGCAAGTGAACTGGGAAGATAGGAAGTAGTGGTTGGTGTTGGGTGCTTAGAACCATTTCTGAAAGTGGTGTAGTCAAAATGATTTGGTCTAGGGTGAGACTATGAGAATGGGTGACTAACATTATTGTTAGAGCATCCATGTGAATGTTGAGTTCTCCAAAAATTATGACAGGTATGGGGCAAAGAGAAAGCCTGGTGCTGAGACTTCAGTGAACGGGAGCAGATTCTGGTGGGAGGTCAGTACTTGACAAAGAATTTTGGGAAATTTAGCAGGATGGCAGGAGTTAAAGGAGGGAGATGAAGAATCATTTGAAAACAACAGTGAGAAGCAATCTTTCAACCCTGATGTGTGAGAGGGAAAAATAGCTTCTACTTCAGAGGGCTATAGTGCTCTCAGAAGTGGGTCTGCTTTGGACAAGGAAAAGTTCAGAGAGAGATGCAGTATATAAGGGATTTTGCTGATTATAATTCAGGAGTCCTAGATAGATGGCACAGGAGAAAGGCTTGGGGGGGTAGAGAAAGTGGAGAATTGGGTCAGAGGTGTGGAACAAAATGGTGTTGACAGTTTGGGTGATAATGGATCACTAAAGGAGGAGTCTTAGGTTGGTGATAGGCCTGAGTATGGAGACAACAGCAGTGAGCCCAGAGCTAAGACTTTAATGAATGAGGAATAATGGATGGGAGGTCTCTTATTAGCAGGGAGTAGGTCAGAGACTTGGGCAAACAGAATAGTGAAGTTTGATGGGATTAGTCTTTAGGAGAGGGTGTTTCAAGCTGCGATCATGAATACTTAAGTGTGACCCTTAATTGTTTTGGAGGCTTTGGATAGCCACTCCTTTTTTGCACTCTCTGTTGCTTCGGTTTGTTTGGCTGAGAAACTGAAGCCAGACAAAGAGCCATTTAACATTTTATTACTGGAAATACTTTGTAGAACTAATACCTGTATTTCAGTCATATCTAATTTGGCTTCTACTTTGAGTCACAGTTCAAAATTAAAGTTTATAATGTCACTTATAAAACTGTTACATTTTGATTCTGAGTTTAAAAAAATAAAAATAACATAAGGTTTTAATTTAGATATTCTGAAAGTGGGAAAGACAACTATTAGATTATTAATCTCTTTGCAATGCGTGTGTTTATTAGTTGTAACAGGAAGTATGAGTCAAAGCACCCTTCCTGATGTCAATAATGTGTTTTGAATTATTGTAGATTACGAAAAGAAAGAGATGAAGAACGTATTAAAAAATTTGTACAAGAAGAAGCTTTCAGATTCCTTTGGAACCAGGTAAACTCCCTCCTGACTTACCTCATATGTGATCAAATAAAAATTGTATATTCATTGAGATAATCGTAGAGTACTCAGGTGTATTAAGCACTCTTGTTCAAGGTTAAGGGTATGGCTTGTGTTCTTTGCCACTAACTCTGAACTAGGACAGTGAATTTTGTTGCATTTTATTTAATCTGAAGAAAAATATTCTGACAGTTTTGACAAGAAAAATAAAATAGTATAAAGCAGGAGGAAAGTGGCTTAATTGAAGGCTGTTAGAGTTTTCCAGTAGATACAACATCCCCAATTTGAAGTTTCATGTAGCTGTTGATCTGTCTTTTGGGAATATTTGAATGAATGATGATTAAGATGGTATATGGCTACAATATGCACATCCTAAAAAGTATACATAACTGTATAGGAGAGTATTTGAATCCTATAATAGCATATTTTAGGGATAATTTAGGCAGTTGGTTTTACTAGCATTGTATCACATCAAATACTTCTTGATGATAATTTCTTGAAAATATTTTAATACAATTTTCATTTCTTCTCTTTTATAGAAATTGGGTCTTGCTATATTGCCCAGGCTGGTCTCAAACTTCTGGGCTCAAGCAATGTTCCTCCTCAGCCTCCTAAAGTGAGCCACATCACCTGGCCAAATTTGTTATAATAGGATTTGACCTATAAAATGAAAACATAATTATTGATTTGTAAGGTTTTGTAGTTACCAACAATAGAGGAATGGTTAAATTATAGAGTAATAATACTGTGGAATACGATGGAACAGTTAAAAAGAATAAGGTAATAGTATTGACCGACATGGAAAGATCTCCAAAATAATACTGTTTAGTAAAAAAAACAGCACTAGCGCATTACAACCTTGAACTCCCCAAGTGATCCTTCTGCTGCAGCCTCCCAAGCAGCTGGGACTACAGGCACAGACCAGTGTGCTCAGCTTCCCTGTGTATTTGAAAATACTACCTAGAAAAAAGTATGGAAGGCTATGCATCAAGTTGCTATCAGTAATTACCTTGGAGGGGGATCAAAGGGAAACTAAAAACTGTACATATTGCTTTCCTGTTTGCAGTTTTTACGGTAAAATTTTGGAATTTTTGTTATACTTTAGAAATGTAGAGGTCATATTATCAATAATTTGGTATATTTTTAGGTATTTTAGAAAGTTGCATATACTGTATTGTTAGATAATACTTAAAAACTCTAATCTCTACCTGGGTATCTAAAATGAGACTTATTTTACAGGGATCTACTTATATCAAGGGCTCTAACCTGTCTTATTGAATAGATGTCATTATATCTTGAATACATTATTGACCCCTTAGTCAGCTAGACATGTACTGTTGTGCATTATTGACCCCTTAGTCAGCTAGACATGTACTGTTGTGCTTCTGGCTGTTTTTCTAATAGAAGCAAGGGAATTGGTTTGGCCCATCCCCACTCCTGGTGAAGGCGTTTTGCTACCAGGGACATGTACCATTTGTGCCAGTCTGGTTTTAGACTTGGGATGCTATGGAAAAGATAAAGGGAGTCAGCAGTTTCTGGCTCCAGTTCTACCATTTGCCAACTTCATGACTGCTGGAGAAAAGAGCTCAAAGGAAAATTGTAAAATAGACAGGTGGGGTGCAGTGGCTTGTGCCCGTAATCCCAGCACTTGGGAGGCCAAGGCAGGAGGATTGCTTGAGCCCAGGAGTTCAAGACTATCCTGGACAACAAAGTGAGACCCCATCTCTACAAAAAGATTTTTTAAAATTAGCCAGATGAATGGACACAGTGGCTCACGCCTATAATCCCAGCACTCTGGGAAGCCGAGGTGGGTGGACCACCTGAGGTCAGGAGTTTGAGACCAGCCTGACCAACATGGGGAAACCTTGTCTCTACTAAAAATAGAAAATTAGCCACGTGTGGTGGTGGGCGCCTGTAATCCCAGCTACTTGGGAAGCTGAGGCAGGAGAATTGCTCGAACCTGAGAGGCGGAGGTTGCAGTGAGCCGATATTGCGCCATTGCACTCCAGCCTGGGTAACAAGAGCGAAACTCCATCTCAAAAAAAAAAAAAAAAAAAGGGAAAACAAATAGCCAGACATGGTGGTGGGCACCTGGAGTCCTAGCTGCTTAGGAGGCAGAGGTGGGGTGGGAGGATCACTTGAGCCCAGGAGGTTGATGCTGCAGTGAGCTGTGATTGTGCCACTGCACTCCAGCCTGGGTGACAGAGCGAGACTCTGTCTCAAAAACAAACAAAAAAGACACTTTTTATTTTATAATACAACTGTATTCTCTGGTTTATAGGTAAGGTCTCTACAGGTTTGGCAACAGACAGTGGACCAGCGTCTAAGTTCCTGGCATACTGATGTTCCTCCTATATCAAGTACTCTTGTGTCATCGAAACCTCCATTATTTACCCAAAGCCAGGAGTCCTCTTCTGATCAAAATGCTGATTGGTTCATTGCTTCTGATGTAGCTCCTCAAGATAAATCATTACCAGAATTTCCAGACTCTGGTTTTCATTCCTCTCTAACAGAACAAGTTCATTCTTTTCAGGATTCATTGGATTTTGAGAAAAGTTCCACAGAAGGCAGTGAAAGCTCCATAATGGGGAATTCCATTGACACAGTGAGATATGGCAAAGAATCAGATTTAGGGGATGTTAGTGAGGAACATGGTGAATGGAATAAGGAAAGCTCAAATAATGAGCAGGACAGTAGTCTGCTTGAACAGTATTTAACTTCAGTTCAACAGCTGGAAGATGCTGATGAGAGGACCAGTTTTGATAGAGAGACAAGAGATAGTAAACTTCACATTGCTTGTTTCCCAGTACAGTTAGATACCTTGTCTGACGGTGCTTCTGTAGATGAGAGTCATGGCATATCTCCTCCTTTGCAAGGTGAAATTAGCCAGACACAAGAGAATTCTAAATTAAATGCAGAAGTTCAAGGGCAGCAGCCAGAATGTGATTCTGCGTTTCAGCTATTGCATGTTGGTGTTACTGTGTAGCATGTTGTGGTCTTTTGGGAAGCAGATACCCACTTAACTTTTCTTAAAAATACTTTCAGTTGCCTTTTTTTTTTTGGAGGGGAGTACTCCCTACCCCTAATTTTGTTACTATTTATATAGAATTTGTATTCATGGCTCATATTTTTCAGATTCTAGATATTGAGCTGAGTTTTCATTTTGATTTTGTTAGTTTTTTACTTAGCTGTAAGGTACCAAACTACTTATATTGACAGCTATATGCACTTTATTTCTTAACTGAATTACATCAACAATGTTCCTGTTTCTTTCATGTACTCATTTACTTTCAAAAATAAGCTAGCATATATTAAAGAAAATAGAAAAAAATACCTTAAATATATAAATAAGAGAATTTTGGCTCTTCTGTGTCTGAGAAAATTAATTATATAGTAGGGAATGAAATTTGATAAAGCAAATATAAATGAGAAATATGAGGATTGTGAACTATTGAAATTTGCCAGTCTCCCTGGTGTAAAATGTTTTTGTAAAGCCTTTTTCCCTCCTTTTGGAGTCAAGGAAAGCCTTTCTATAAGTAAATTAAGAAAAGGTAGGATTATAAGATTTCTCAATGGGAATGATTAAATTGTCTCGTGGAAAACTTCAGTTAATGTCATGCATCAGTTTTAACATATGAAGTAAAGTGTTCTATCCAGAATTAAAGTCAAGTTTACTTACGCAACATAAGAATATTTCACTTAGATATGAAGAAAGGAAACACTAGTCTCCATTCACTTGAGATACTGTCATGGCAAATATTTATCCTTTCGTTAAGTGCTTTTTCACCCTATAGATAAGCATTTATGTGCCAATATGTTGTCAGAAATTAATGTATGTTCATCTCCTCTGTTCCTGCTTATATTATGTATTTCAACAGAAGGTCTACGGCCATTCACTTCAATTTTGACCTCTGTCCCATAGAGAAGAAAATTTAAAGTAATACTAATGGTCGAATATGAATGACTTTTTAGGAACTGCTTTTTGTCTAACCTGAAAAAGTGCCACATTTGGAAGACAATTTAATGATGGTGAAGAAATAATAAACCTCCCTTTACTTGTTAAAAGGGATATATATGTCTGCAATAAGGGAGAAATAAGATTTGTGTTTGAATATTGTAGGTAGATGCATTTGTAATTAAGGATAATATCATTGAACAATATGTATTTGGTTTCCCTCAACGTATAGATATGCAGCTATTTAAAACTATGGCAGTACTTAAGTGTTCTCTAAATTTAGGTGCTAAATATCTATTAATTATTCTGTTGTAGTCGTTAGGTGCCCTTCTTTGAAGTTATATAAAATAAAAGCATCTGATCCTTCAAGGATAAAGTTGAGGATTACATGGTACGTGGCATTTGTTGTTGTTGTTTTTTAAAGAGATGGAGTCTGGCTCTGTTGGTGCAGTGCCATGATCATAGTTCACTATAACCTCGAACTCCTGGCCCAAGTGATCCTCCCACTTCAGCCTCCTGAGTATCTGGGATTATAAGCAGGAGCCACTGCTCCCAGCTCATGGTATTTGTTGATAGTCATAACATTTTTCCTGTATGGTAAGATGTATTTTTCTCAGTTTATAAATGCGTAGCACTCAGGTTGAGACGACTTGGATTTTATTCTTAGAAATCCAGAATCCCTTGAAAAGGAAATATTTTCTGTTTCTTATAAATAAAACAATAATCTTACTTTCAGAAGGATTTTCCTTAGTGAAACGTGTAACACTGAATGCATGTTAAATAAAAATGGAATTTCTAACTTTTTTTCAACAGTGCTAATTATCTTTTCAGAATGATTTTGAATGTCTTTTAAAATATACCCTATTTTTCTATTTTACAGTTAAGTGCCTCACTTGCTGTCCATAGTTACACAAAGAAAAACCAACCTGCACTGCACTAGTACCAAAATACTACTTTATACATTAGTTTTTCATAAAAGCTGCTGGAATGTCATGATTCAGTATTACCTAAATAGGTTTCTACTAAAATCCTCTCCCTCCTGTCTTCTTTTAAGTAATGGCGTAACATAACTAAATTCATTTGATCATCAGCACTTGTTAGCAGGATTTCATTTTTTACCTTTGCCTTGTTTCTCTAGCCCATAAAGAGTACTCAGCATACTTTCATTAACAATTTGGCAGAATATGATAATTATCAATATTCTGTTCTTCGTCTGTGTTTTATTTAACTTTTACTAGTGTTTAGAAGTGCAAGAATATTAAATAGCCCCTTCCTTAACTGTACATATTATCTTGAATGTAGATAAAATGAAAATATTGTAAATTAGAATGTAGGAAAACTGGCATAGACTTAATATATTTTAATGGGTTTACGTTATACTTTAAAAGTAATTTATATAATTAAGATATTTGGTTTTAACCCTATGGGCTATTCTTTGGTCTGGCTGAAGAGGGACTGGGTCTAGTAAGGTTTGGAAAGTTGAGCTTTGAACATGGTCTTTGTGTTTTTTTCCTAACGAGGAGAGGTTTAGTTCAGCTGTGCTATTTTAGTACACATCAGTTCTCTTGATTTATGGAAGACTCAGTTTATCAATTAAGAATTCCTGCAGAAGCACAGAATCATACTGTGTAAGAGTTGGAAGGAAGCTTAAGAATTTCTGTTCGAATCTCTTTGTTTCAAAGATGAAACTAAAGCACAGCATGTTAAATGACTTGTCTAAGTTATAGCTAGTTAGTAGCAAATGAACTGAAAACCTATATGCTACTGTAGTCCAAACTTTTATTATGTTCTCTTAATCTTTACATTTAGTGAGTCAGTACGGAAATCTCTGCATATTTCTCATTCTCTTTGAAAGAGGGAAAAAAACTTCTAAGAGAGCTACAACTCTATCACTCATGACAGAGTTGCTTGTAGAAAATAACTAATTCCTTCAGAACCCTGAGTGAATTTTCTTCAAGAAACGTGACTTGATTAAAATGATTTCAAAAGAGCAATAGTGGAAATTAAAGTTTTAGAAAAGAGACTGGGTGTGGTGGTTGACGACTGTAATCCCAGCGCTTTGGGAGGCCGAGGCCGAAGGATCACTTGAGACCAGGAGTTCAAGACCAGCCTGGACAACATAGCAAGACCCACCTCTCTACAAAAAAAATTTTTTTCTGAAAAGAATAATTACATTTTAGAGTCCATTTATTTGATGACAGGCAGTATGACAGGTTGCTGAGGGATATAAAATTTTCTAGAGAAATGCTGAGTTTGATGACATTTTATCTTCCGTTTTGTAGAACAACAGATGTTAAAATTTCAACTCTCCTGGTGTGCAGAAAGCTCTAATCATGACAGTTGATAATATGCAATTTAGTTTGATTTTAAAAGTTTAATTATAAAAGACTTCACAATATGCATGTTTTAGGAAAATGTTCATTTATTTAGTCATATAATTGTATATATGTAAATAACTTTATTCTGGAATAATGTGGGTGCCATCTTGAGCATGTGTTTTTATTTGGATTATTTTTTGTATACAAACACCATAATACTGTGTTTTCCTGTTATCTACTTAAGTCTAGTTCTACTTTTTACCAATAATTTCAGGAAAATACAAGCTTAAGATACTATACTATCTCCCTTGGTATTTTTTTGTGTGCAAAGTCTTAGAATTAGATTTATAACATTGATAATAAAAATATAAAACGTTTTTTCTCAAGAATTAAGACAGTAAAAAGGAAAAATAGAATGCATAAGATCATTTCCCCATCATAAAGGAAAGAAGATACTTCATTGTTTTTTTTTTTGTTGTTGTTTGTTTGTTTGTTTGTTTTTGAGGCAGTTTCACTCTTGTCACCCAGACTGGTCTCGGCTTACTGCAACCTCCACTTCCTGGGTACAAGCGATTCTCCTGCCTGAGCTTCCTGCATAGCTGGGATTACAGGTGTGCAACCACAAGGCTCGGCTAATTTTTTTGTATTTTTAGTAGAGATGGGGTTTCATCATGTTGGCCAGGCTGGTCTTGAACTCCTGACGTCAAGTGATCCGCCTGCTTCCGCCTCCCAAAGTGCTGAGATGACAGGTGTGAGCCACTGTGCCCGGCCGAGGCTTCATTGTTTAATGTGTATTTTTATTTTTTCCGAACACCAGCTCGAACCAGAGTGTATTTTTATTTTGCCACATACCTTTAAAAGATATTTATTGCGTCGTAATGTTTTAAATGTTACATATATGATACCCTCATTCATGAAGTGAAGCGGAAAGGGTCTGTAAGGAACATTTTAAACATTTTTAATAATATTGCTTTTACTGATCAAGCTTGTTGTGCCATATTAAAATTAAAAGTCAAATAAAGCAGTCCTCACAACCTTGGAAAGAAATAGATAATTGTCTTCTTAAAATGAGGTGCTTTTTATCTGTGGATGAATGGAAATCACATTGAATTTTAATTCTTATTTATTTTAGTGGATAGCAGGAATCACTCTGTAGTAGTTTTGTTCATTTCCTTTTTTTTTTTTTTTTGAGACAGAGTCTTGCTCTGTCGCCAGGCTGGAGTGCAGTGGCGTGATCTCGGCTCACTGCAATCTCCACTTCCTGGTTGAAGTGATTCTCCTGCCTCATCCTCCCGAGTAGCTAAGACTACA